TCCCCATCGCCTACCTCAGATGCGATAACCTTCCTATCAGCCTCATTCTCACCTCAAATTCTTCTTCCACAAACTGCTCTATGATTTTTTCTTCTTCACAGTCTTCTTTCATGCTCGCCGATGAATCCGTGCTTCCATCTTAAGCATTCAGCAAGGCATTTGTGCTCTCTGCTCTTCCTCTAATTTTCTTCATCTCTTCCATCTCCCTCTCACTATTGCTTCTGCTTCTCCCCTGATGAGACCGTTCATCAAGCGTTTTGATCTATCATTCTCTCACTATTGCATTACTATATTTCTTCTTTTAATGCAAATCCCAAAACTTTCTAATAATTAGCTGCAGCAGCAATGTTATACAAACTATTCCGATCATTACCGATGTTCAAAGTGCTATAGAAGCATCTCATGATATATTTAGAGAATTCAAACATGAGTTTCTTCAATTCAAAGTGCAATACCCAGTCTTTATAATCCGATAATTTTATCCTCCTACGCTAATTAAGAGTACCCAATACTTTTTAATATTCTCTCTTTGTTTTTCAATCTTGCATTCTGGTAAATTGTATTACTCTGTTTATCCCTGTTTTTAAGGATAAAAAACAGAGGTAGGCTTAAAACCAATAAACATATAATAGATTACACAGGCATGGAGCTTTGGATCTTTTTTTTTTTCTTTCAAGACCTGAGCATGAAGCTTTGGATATGATCCAGTTTTTCATAACTTCTATATACATAAGTGTAACTCTTGGGTATTGAGTAAAACAATAGTTGGATTAAGTGGAGGAAAGGAATGAATGGTCCGAACTTTGACACGGATTTTAGCTGGAAAATAACTGAGAATGGTGGTAACAAGTGTTATTTTTGTTCCCTTCGCTTGCGAAATTTATCAATGCCCAATCTCAGTGTTCCTCACTCCCTTCCCTTGCTGGGCAGGACCTACTCTTCCTTGGACTTCCATGGTCTTCGAAAAGTGGGCAGTGACTTCCTGGAGAAAGATTTACGGGTGTTCCTTAGTGCCAAAGATCTTGTACCCCGCCACTTCGTCGAAGACGTATGTCATTGCTCTGAGTTTACCACCTTAGTACCAATGCCGTTTTCAACCTATCAACATTCTGTAACGTTTTTCGTCTCTAAAGATTAATGGCTATGCCTTAGTAAGTATAAGGATTTAATAAAAAAGGAAAAAACTTTAGGATCTAAGTAAAAATCCTGTAGTCTGGTAAAAAAAAATGTAAAAATCCTGTAGAACTTTAAGGACCAGCGGATTACTTTTCCCAAAAAATTTTAACCCTACTTCAATTTTTTAAAATAAGCTCATGAAAATTTTTCCTCCTATCCCATTTTCTTCATTTCTACCGTACCAAAGGGACCCTTACACTCAAATAAACATTATAAGTATCAGGTGCGATTCATAAGTATATGAATTTGCACTTTAGCCTCCATATTACAAATCTAAATGGTATAGAAATTGATGCCCAGCGCGGTTGTGTTGTATATACTACATCCGATTCTAAATATAATAGTTAGTTGATTAATTTGAGTAGATTAAAGAAATAAGTTCAATTAGTTATTTATAATAAATAAGTATTGTCTTTCTTAAAATATCCTTACTAGTTAAATTTATTGGCTAGAACTACTATTATTATTAGAAGGAATATCTTAGGAAAAAAAGAATAAATATGAGAAACAAAGTGAATTGGGATCTTATATTTAAGATCAAAATAAAAATCAAATAGGATCATATATTAAGGACCGGAGGTAGTATATATATATGGCCATCTTAAATGTAAATGATTGAAGTATTACAAAAAGAGGAAAAAATATTTAGTACTATTATTTTTCTTTCCCTTTGTCAATGAATAGGAAACACGTACTGGTGAAAGATAATTTTCCCGTATAATGCCCTAATCAATTGATGAAAAAGACATGGTCCTTGCATATTGGAGGGAAGTTAATTAAGAAAATGAACATTCATTGAGGACATACATGAAAAGAAAGAAAATTTTTAATATGTAAATTAGTTAAAATTGTTCTGCTGCCTTACGTGCACTATTATTTCTTCTCTTCTTTTTTAATACTCTTCCAATCCTTAACATAAAATCTAATTAATTAATTTTAGTAAATTAAGAATGTTAATTGAATTAGTTAATATGATATATTTTTTCTAAAACACCCTAAGTATCTTTTTAATTTCATTCTTCCCTCTCCTAGTTGATTTTTGTTGAAGGAACATCAATAGGATCAATTTGGAAAAAAGTCGATAATTATATAAAATAAGTCTTATAATTAGGATCAACATTAACTCTCTAATTAAATCTTATACTCCTTCAATTCTTAATATAAGACCCATTTAATTAATTTGATTAGATTAAAGAAGTTAGATAAGTTAGTTAATTACAAGAAAAGTGACACATTTTTTCCTAAAACACTGTAATTATCTTTCTTAATACCCCTCTCCTTTTTTTACTTGATTATGGTTGAGGGAGTATCGGTAGGGATAATTTAGAAAAAAATTGATAAATATGAGAAATGGGTCTTATATTTAGGATCAAAACTAACTCAAGAATTGGATCCAACATTAAGAACCGAAGGTGTATTAAGTACAGGAGGAGTAACAGCTTTATAAGTTATTTTCCGGGAGAGCATGCTAGATAATTAATAAAATCAATGGTTGTCGGGTAGTCTCTTTCATGAAAGAACAAAGAAGCTATTCTGAATGGTCTACCGCTTTGAAGAATACATCTACTTTTTATCTTCTTTGCGCCTCTGATTCTTTGGCCTCTCTCTTTCTACGCCCATAAAAATAGTTCTAGTCCAACCAAACATATCCAAATATCAGGATTATGACGTGATATTTATCTATAAATACATTATAATATATTACGTTAAAGACCATTATCTAACACTTTACCCTACAAAAAAAAAATTCTAATCTATACGAACTTATTTTAGAATTTTGTAGCTTTATAATAAATACTGGATTTGGCACTAAATGTAAAGACTGATTATAGGCTAGTGCTATACTTCATTTCACTTTGTCTCTTAAATTTATATTTATTTCTAAATTGTTTCTATTAATCAAATATACTAAATATAAGAACTCCTAATGACAAATACTCCTTCATTCTAAATAATTCAAAGTTCGGATTAATGGCTAACACCTTGAAAAGAATTAACCCAAATAGACCGATGGATTGTTGTGAACGCGTCTTAGTGGCTGGTCCAGTAAATTAATCAGAGTAGCTTTGTAGCTAATCATAGTGACCTATCTCAAGATCATCCACTCAGTCATCAGGGGGTTCACTATCTATTCATATGTGATTAAGCTATGGCTTTCGATCACATGTTAAGAGAAGCTAATCCTTATGCTAATACTCTGGCTTATCAATGGCATCAAATGGATGTTGAAATTGTCGTTATCAATGTTCTTCCTATACTTCTTCCTGTGAAGTATAGAGCTACTACCATAACATTTCAATCACAAGCTTTCTTTAGCTATTTAGTCCCTGCGCATTTTATCATGTCCTTTTATTCCAAAAAGGAAAAAAGAGTTGCCAAAGGAGGCAAATGGGACATTTTGCCCTTTAAGCACAAGAGTTTTTTTTAACCTTGTAAGTATAAGCGTTTAAGACAATGTATTTGTCATGGCGTTATCTGGTGTTAAGGAGCTCTCTTAAAGAAATTCTTATGAAAAAAATAAAAGTATTGCGGGGTCGGATTTTCATGAATGTATACCAAGCACCCTAAATTTTTCAGTATTTTTTAAAGTATTAGACACACTTGGAAAAAATTATGTGGGGAATAAATTACAAAATATTTTAGAATGTTAGATAATATAAAAAAATATTTCAGAATATTGAACGACCCACAAAATACTTTAAAACGAAAAAACATTTGAAAAAATATCTTAGAGTGCTAAATAATATATAATTTTTTGGGGTCAACCTCCGATCCTATATATAAATTATAAATAACTGAAATATATAGAGTAAAATATATATTTTTTGAATATACATTTATTTATAAAGAAGATAAAACGAGAGAGGATGGTTCAAGGGGGAAAAAAGAATAATATAGAGAGAATCCTAAAATTTTTTTGTAAAATTTTAAAATTCTAAATCATTCTTATTTACTATATTTTAATAGTAAAAATATATATATGTTAATATTAATTAGTTGATGTAAAGTTAGCTTTTTGATTTAGAAAAGAGGGAAACGTATTATATGGTATTTTGAGTTTTCATTTCTTCCTAATTGTAAGAGGAAAATTTTAAATGTTTATTATATTTTTTTAAAAAATAAAAAAACAACTAATAAATTATAATAAAATAAAATGTTTATTGTATATATTAAAAATTCATTTCATATATATATATATATATATTAATTCATTGTTTCACTTAAAACTATTAATATTAATGTAAAATTTAAACACATTAATTTTTATTTAATCAGTCTGTGGATTATTCCTTTCTTCTTCTTTTTTCCTTTACCTTTTCTTTCAAGTTTCCACATTCCCTGTACCAAAACAATTAGGAAATTTGATATTTAGGATAATCTAAGGCACATAAATAAAAATAACTCATGACATAAATAACTCAGGACATGAAAATTTGAAAATAACAGCTGAAAATAAAGGTTACAGGAAAATGAGTGATTGTTTTGCGTAGACTCTTCCCCAAGAGAAGAAAAATGTGGTTGTGCATGGCCTACCAAATTGAGAATACGTGTCCTTCTTGTCTTCCTTGCAATTACTATCGTTTGTCTTTTTTGGAGAAATACACGGGATTCAAATTATTAATCATATCTCTTCTTGCAAAGTTCCCAGAATCTTCCGAGGCACAAAGAAACCAAATGTCAACTAACTTCCTCTTTTAAGTGTTCCCTCGATCAATCTAAACCAGCTTCACTCTATTATTGCTTCCTATCAAACTCTTTTCACTCTCAATCATCTCGTCCATCTTCTAAAGTAATACCTTTTGAGTTACCAGACAAAACAAGGCATGGAGTTCGTTACCAAGGTGGGGGAAGCACTTCTCTCTGCTTCTGTGCAGATCTTACTCGACCGGATCTCCTCAAGGGAGTTTCGAGATTTCATGAAAAATAGAAAGCTCAATGTCTCTCTCTTGGATGAGCTGAAGATTACTCTGTTGATGCTTGGTGCTGTCCTTAATGATGCAGAGGAGAAACAGATCACCTGCCCTCCAGTTAAGGAATGGCTTGAAGAGTTGAAAGACGCTATCTACGATGCAGAGGATTTGCTAGATGAGATCAACACTGAGTCTCTGAGATGCAAGGTGGAGCAAGATTCACAACATGTGGCTGACAAGGTGCGATCCTTCTTTTCTTCTTCTTTTAGTGAATTTTACTGGGGGCTAAACTCCAAGCTAGAAGCAACATCTCGAAGGCTTGAACACTTTGCCAAACAGAAGGATATCCTTGGTTTGCAAAGTGTTAGCTTCAGAGCGCATAAAACACCCACAACATCAGTGGTAAATGAATCTGTTGTAGTTGGCAGAGAGGATGAGAAGGAGAAACTATTGAAAATGCTTCTGTGTGATGAAGATCCAACGGGTAATGCTATAGGAGTGATCACTATATGGGGTATGGGTGGCCTAGGTAAAACTACCCTTGCTCAACTACTTTATAATGACAACAAGGTGCAAGAGCATTTTGATTTGAAGGCTTGGGCTTATGTTTCAGATGATTTTAGTGTTCTTAAGGTGACCAAGAACCTTGTTGAGTCGATCACTTCAAAAGTCTGCGATGGTAAAAATCTAGACTTTCTTCGTGTTGAGTTGAAAAATAGCGTGAAGAATAAAAAGTTTTTGATTGTGTTAGATGACCTTTGGAATGAAAAATACAGTGATTGGGATGATCTCATAACTCCTTTTCATAGTGGGAAACGGGGAAGCAGAATCATTGTAACAACTCGCCAACCAAGGGTTGCTGAAATCACACATACATTTCCCATACTTAAATTGAACCATCTTTTAGATGATAATTGTTGGTCTTTACTCTCTAAACATGCATTTGCAAATGTAGATCCAAACAAATATCCAGAGCTAGAAGCAATTGGAAGGCAAATTGTGAGAAAATGTGGTGGCCTACCGATTGCTGCCAAAACAATAGGAGGTCTTTTGCGTTCAAAAGTGGATACAAGGGAATGGAATAAAATTCTCAATAGCAATCAGTGGAACATACCAGATGATGATGTTATGCCTGCTTTGCGTTTGAGTTATCTATATCTTCCATCACATTTGAAGAAATGTTTTGCTTATTGCTCAATTTTCCCAAAGGATCTTGTGCTAGAGAAAAAGAAATTGGTCTTGTTATGGATGGCTGAAGGCATTGTGCAACAACAATCTCATGGGGAGAAGACATTTGAGATTGAAGCAGAAAACTATTTCAATGAATTGCTATCTAGGTCATTCTTCCAACAGTATGGTGGTAACCCAAAAAAGTTTGTCATGCATGATCTCATAAATGATTTGGCAAAATTTGTATCCGGCAAGAGCTATGCTCAATTTGAGGAAAATGAAGTCTCAAAATCTATACGACATTTATCATTTTCCTTGAAAAAATATAGTCGCTCTAAAGAATGTGAGAGCTTTTGCCGTACAAATAGTTTGAGAACTCTTTTGTCGCAAAATGAATTCAAAGATTGGTCAGCAACATGTGTTTTGACTAGAAAAGTGCTCCATGATTTGTTGACAAAACTAAAATGTCTAAGAGTATTGTCCTTGCCAAGATATGAAAACATTGTTGAGGTACCAATTTCAATTGGTAATTTGCAGCTTTTGCGGTATCTCAACTTTTCCTACACTTCAATTAGAAGGTTGCCTGATGTAGCCTTTACTCTTTACAATTTGCAAACATTGCTTTTATCAAATTGTGTGTTTTATTGAATTATCAGAAAAGATAGAAAAGCTGATTAATTTACGTCATTTGGACGTTAGCAAAACTGCTTTGAAGGAGATGCCCACACAAGTTACAAAACTACAAAATCTTCAAAGTTTGAGTACCTTTATTGTGGGCAAACAGCCGAATGGATTGCAAATTAAAGAGTTGAAAGGGCTCCCTTGTCTACAAGGTAAACTTTCCATTTTGAATCTACAAAATATTGTTGATTCTAGGGATGCTCTAGAGGCAAACTTGAAGAATAGAGAAAAAATTGAGGAGTTAGTGTTAGAATGGAATTGTGATGTTGAAGATTCACAAACTGTGAAAGATGTACTCGGCATGTTGCAACCTTCAACAAATTTAAAGAGATTGACCATCAAGCATTATGGAGGCACCAGCTTTCCTGTTTGGGTGGGAAATTTGTCATTTATAAATATTACTTTTTTATGTGTGAGGGATTGCAAAAATTGTGTTTTGCTCCCACCATTTGGAGAACTGCCTTCTCTCAATGAGCTCTCGATTGGTGGAATGGGATTATTGCATACAATTGGACGTGAATTCTATTGTAGCAAACTAAAGAGCCCTTCATTTCAGCCATTTCTATCTTTGAAGATTCTCATATTTCAAAATATGCCTATTTGGGAAGAATGGATACAATTTGATTGTGAAGGTGCAAAATTTCCTTTCCCCCAACTCAAAAGTTTGAGTTTGCATGATTGTCCAATGCTGAAGGGAGACATGCCCGACAACCTTCCATCATTGACAAATGTTTCTATATCAAATTGCAAACAATTGGAGGCAAAATCAACAACTTTGCAGTGGATTACATCTATTCAAGAATTAAACATTGAGCGAGGTGAACAGGGGTTATTAAGAGCATTTGATGATTTATCTCTAGACTCTTTGGAATCTCTAACAATTGAGAACTGTGATAGCTTGCAGTCTTTGCCAAGAATGACAATGGGTAACCACTGTCTTCAAATGCTGTCTCTCAAAGATATCCCATCCATCATGTCCTTCCCAATTGATGGTTTGCCCACTTCTTTGCAACGTCTTGAAATTGAAAATTGTGAGAAATTAGAGTTCCTACCTCAGGAGTCTTGGCAAAACTACCCATCACTAGAAGACTTGAGAATTGATAATAGTTGTCCTTCCTTGAAATCTTTTCCATTAGGTTGTTTTCCCAAGCTTAGGAGGCTTCGCATTGACAGATGTCATAATTTGGAGGCCTTTACACATGTTGGGGGGTATGCTCTTCCCTTAGAATCATTTTGGGTCCAAAGCTGTGACAAACTTAGATCAATGTCAGAAGTGCATGTTGATTCCCTTGCCAACCTTCAATGCTTTTGGCTAAGTTCGGTTTCAAAGTTGGAATCATTACCTGAAGGTGGTTTGCCTTCTAACTTGCGATCATTTACTATTGGGGGCTATAATGAACTATCTTCTATACCAATCCAAGACTGGGGGTTTCAACGCCTGACTTCCCTCTCGCTGTTTGCAGTTATGAATAATGGAAATGAAAGCATTCTTCATAATTTACTTAAGAATCAATTACTACCCACTTCTCTTGTGTGTATTGACATCGAGTGTGTCTCCAATCTTAAATTATTAGAAGGAAAAGGGCTTCAACACCTTACTTCTCTTGAAGAGCTCTCCATCTATGGCTGTGAAAACCTTGAATCCTTACCAGAAGATGCGCTACCATCCTCTCTTTTGTTGTTGGCAATCTCGTGCTGTCCAAAATTAGAAGAGAGATATGATTATGAGAGAGGAAAACACTTGTCCAAGATCGCTCATATTCCCACCATACGAATTAATTATGAATACTATGATCCTTGAGATGGTGCATTACTTCAAAAGGTGAGCTCTCAAATTTCACAAGATTTCAACATCATAGTATCTATTAATATATATATATATATATATATTTCCTTTCCTTTTTCTTTTTCACAATCCACATATCATATACTCCCTTCATGATCATCGAATAGATATCGACATGTTATGGGTACATCTTGCCAATGCCCTACACATGCACGCACACAATCGAAAATTTGCTTCTACAATATTTTGTTTGGGAAAAAAAACCGAGTCTTGTAAAACATTCTAGTCAATTTTTCTTTTCCTACAAAGACATGCTGTTTTAGAAAAAAGAAGTAGTGCTGCTATGGTTACTTCTCATATTCGGCCAAATATTATTAATATCTTATCAGATTTTTAATAAATAAAATTGAAAACACATATTTTTCTATTACCATATATGAGCTTATGTTTAATTGCGAATTGATTTCTGTTTTCGTATTGCTTCTTCACATTGCAGATTCTGAAGCTTTGTGGCAGAATTGAAACTCTGAAAGCACCAAAAGATTTTGAAGACCATCAAGGGCAAAGTGCCTTCAAAATGATCCTCTGCTTCGAATTCTCTGTTTTCCTATCATCAAAATGCTATCATCTTTTGTTTTATTTATCTCTGAGAGTCGATTCATCATCAGAAGTTTATGTGAGTATCAACTTTTTTTCGCCCACTTAAAGAATCTCCATTTTGAAATATAATGTAGTTTTGTTAAATTGATGCTTCTCCATTTTTATTATGTTAACTATTTGTTCAGATTTCTTATAATTTTCAAACAAGAATGATAAAAATTTTGCCGACTTCTACTGATATGCCTTTGTCGTTGAGGGTTTTGTGGCATCACCATCTCAAGATTAGTATTTCAAGGTATAGGATTAAGTAGCCTAATTTACTTATTTCAATGTTTTTAATTCAACAAAATCATCATATGAAGCTTCAAACTAGTCAATAGAAAATATTTTTTTTAATTTTTATATTCGCAATTTACTTGGAAAGCACAGAGGTATAATTTGACTAACAGTTTTTTCTTGGATGTTGCTTTTTTCTTTTCCTTTTCTTTTTAGTGACTTGATCTAAAATTCCATAACCAGAATGTCATTGGCTTTCAATAAACAGAGCAGTGACCAGATGTTTCTTGAAGACATCACATCTTAGGTGATGCATTTTGTTAAAACTAATCACCTTTTAATTATTCACAATGCACATATCATATATTCCCTTCGTGATCTGTCCGTGCAAGTCTGATAAGTGAGAGAAAGTATTAGTGACTTCATTTTAAGGCAAGAAATCAACTACCAAGTCACAAAGATTTTGAACCATTCTTTCATGCTCAGGCTCAGTATAATAATTTCATACTAAAAATAAAAAGGAAGTTTGAAAATTTCTTTTCATATTTGCCCAAAAATTATTAATATCTTATCAGATTTTTAATCAATACAATTGATAACATATTTTTTCCATTGCCGTATATGAGCATATGTTTGGTTGCAAATTGACTTCCATTTTGGTGTTACCTCTTCACATTGCAGATTCTTAAGCTTTGTGATGGACTTGAAGCAAAAGTATTGAAACTCTGAAAACAAAAGAAACTCTTTTGTATTTTCAAAGTTTTGCCGGTTCATTCATGAAATATTGAAAAGCCCTGTAAGTATTATTTCTTTCCCATTAAGGATTTCGAAGATTAAGGTTCGAGTGGGTGAATATAAGTTTGATTGAAGTTCTTTCCTTTATTTTTTTCAAGTTGCATATTTCTAAAAGCTTTGTGGGAGAATTGAAACTCTGAAAGCTCTAAAAGCCTTTGAAGACGAACAAGGCGAAACGATTTCAAATTGATCCTCTGCTTCAGATTCTCTCTTTCCTAGCATCAAAATGCTATCAATCGACCATCTTTTGTTTTATTCATCATTGGGGGTTGATTCATGAGAAGCTCATCTGAGTATCAACTTTTTCCCCCCTTGAAATGAACAATCTACTAATTTCAAAGTTTTTAATTTAATATAATCATCATATGAAGCTTCAAATGAACAGAAATATCTTATTTTTATATTCATAATTTACTTTTAAAGCAGAAAGCTAAAATTTGACTTAACAGTTTTTTTTCTTGGATATTGCTTTTTTCCCCGCCCCTTCTTTTTAGTGATTTGATCTAAATTTCATAAGCAGAATGTTATTGGCTTTCAATAAGCAGAGAAATGGCCAAATGTTTCTTGAAGATGTGACATATTAGGTAAGGCATTTTGTTAGAACTAAGTACTTTTTAATTATTGTGATTGAAAGCGTTCATGTGTTTTAATGAGTCATTTGAAAATAGGTTAGGGAACTGGTTGAATTGCTCTGTTTCGGAGAAACGAGTTATGGGAGAAGCAAGGATGACAGGTAAAAAAGCTAATTTCAATACTCACTGTTTACCTCATTTTAAATATAATATCTATAGGAACCACTTGAGCTAATTCAAGAGTTATTTGGTAAAAATTACCAATATGTTACCAGAAAAGAAGCATTACTCTATTGCTCACTTTATATGTTGGATTGAACATTTGATTATTTCTGGTGTTGTGCTTCTTCAGGTCTTAACATTAAGGGCTTTGTGGGTATTATGCAATTAACAATTGTCATGAGGCAGAATTGAATTTCCTCTCAATTGTGAACTACTTTTTGCACATTTTGTATTAGTTTGGGGTGAACTGTGTAAAACTCTGGCTGCCAATTATGAGTAAGCAGTGTAAAAATTATAGAATTGTGATTTGTAAGAATTGTAGGTGAGTTCGTAGCAAAATTTACTAGAATTGTAATCAGAGTTTTATAGTAGGAAAATCTTTTGAGTAGTTTTCAAGAGGACTGGATGTAGGTCAGGGGACCAAACTAGTATAATTCTTGTGGTATTTTTTCTCTCTTCCTTTATCTTTAATTTATCACTAACTATATTTAGTTGCTTGTTTCATCTAACACACAATATGAAACTTCTAGTAGGCAGAAATATTACTTATATAGAACCTATGTTATTTGAAAATAAAATAATTTTTTGGGTAGCTGGTAGATTAGAAATTCATGAAAAAGGAATTTGGTAAAATTATAGCTATTATCAGCTTTATATTATCATATCTTCTATTACCATTGTTGTGAGTTATTATATGCACATTATCTTGAGAGTTCGTGAAAAACTATTTTCCCACATTAAAGAGATTTCTTTCTTAGGATCTTTGAGTTTGAAACTTAATTGGTTAGATTAAAGTTGTACTGAGTAAAGCTATGAAGCATCTTTGGTAGCTAATTCATCTGATTTTATATTGCCTCATTATCTTCCAATCTAGCCAGGCCCATTTCCTTTGGATCTCATTGCAGTATCCAGCTTTTGTCCATCAGCGGTGAACTTTTTGAGGGGAAGAGGCATGTTGGACATATACCCCAATTGATTCCTAATGGAATTCTAAAAAAAAAAATACTTTGAAAAATCAATATGTTAAATATGACTAATTGGGAGTCTGTCAGGACTAGTGTTAAATTCCTATTTATTTTTCATTAAAAACACTCTTAAACTTGTTTAAAATCCTAGTCTTCATCATTACAACTATATTGATATATTATCTGTCCTAATATCTTTTCATCCTCCATTACCATTGAAATTAACGAGACTAGGCACTTTTTCATTAAGTGGTTCAGTTTACTGTTAATAACCGTGCACAGAGAACGTGAAGTTATGTTAAGTGCTTGGAAATTTTGATGTGAAGCTCTGAGAACTTATTAGTTAACTTTTGACGATGTGTTGCCACACATAAAAATGGGAAAAAGAACAGAAAACATAAACTGCTTGAGGATAAGATATACCATCATTTTCTTTTGCTACGTACTGAATGTTAAAACAATAGACTTGGAGCTCACTCTTTCAATTGCATTGTTTTGATAGACCTAATTAACTAATTTAAGTGGATCGAGGATGTTAGTTAAATTCATTAATATGATATGTTTGTTCTAAAATATCTTATGCATCTTTCTTAATTTTCTTCCTCCCTCTGCTACTTGATTATTATTGGATGAATATTAATAGGGTTAATTTGAAATATGTCTTATATATAGGACCAACATTAATAATTTGAAATATGTCTTTTATATAGGACCAATATTAACTCTCTAATTAGTTTTATATTAAGGACCAGAGGAGTATAATAATATAGGGGATTTTACAATAATAATTTTTCAGCTTTCTCATATTCACATACTCCTCCGATCCTTAATATAGGACCCAATTCTTGAGTTGGTTTTGGTCCTAAATATAAGACCCATTTCTCATATTTATCAATTTTCTCTAAATTACCCCTATAGATACTCTCTCAACTATAATTAAGTAGAAGAGGGAGAGGGGGTATTAAGAAAGATGATTATGGTATTTTAGGAAAAATGTGTCACTTTTCTTATAATAAACCAACTTACCTAACTTCCTTAATCTAATCAAATTTGTTAAATGGGTCTTATATTAAGGACCGGAGGAGTATTTGTTATGAGCCTCATATCATACCGATGAAATTGGGTTGTAAGAAAAGGGATATACTACCTAGTCATCAACTTTATCATGTGAAAATCCGTATGCAGAATGCTATCTGTGCATATTCAGAAAGAAGATGAATAAAGGTCGAAGTTCCCAGAAAAATCCTCAGATCAGGAAATGCTTGATATGGTTATGGCTCGATATACTTAGAACATACATTTCACAATTAAGAGATTTAAGACTTATATATTGTGAATTAATAGAATTTCATTATTACTCCAAAGTCTTACGTCTCCTCCCACACACCTCAAAGTGAACTCTTTAAGTTTTGACTTATGTGTGCCATATAAGATATACTCTACATACAAATAAAATTTTTGTTATGTTATATTTTATTAGTAAAATAACGGATAATTAATCAAGGCTGGGGGTGTAATTTACATAATTTTAAAATTTTAAAATAGTTTTATTGTAACAGATTAATCTTTAAAAATGTCAGTTATTATCTACATATATATTCAAATTTCTAGAGGTTATGTGCAATACGACATCACAATTCCTTTTTTTTCATTTTTTTTAAAAATTTTTTGTCACCTTCTAGATAGAATCCAAACTTTTGTTGAAAGGACTGAAGGTAATATTTTTTTAAATAAAAATTGCGATGAAAAAACTTTGTTCTTTCCTCTGTTTTCCTCCATTATTTTCCGGGAAATGCGACCAAAAGATAATTAACAAAGTCAATAAGATAGTATGAACAGACAGCAAGGCTTGACGTTTGATTTTGTGGTCGGTGAGTGAAGTTTTCAAAGCTTAATAAAATACCATTCTAACAAAGGATGAAATAGTATAATCTAATCAACCCTGCAAGAAGATTTTTTTAATTAATATTAATTATTCGACATATAGTTGGCAAAAAAAATAACAGACACGTAAAGTCAAGAAGACACCATCATTTAGCTACAAAATTAATAATTCTTTTCAAATTCACAACGAAACTAGAAGAAATTGTTTTCATCGAATGCAGTCATGTTGTGAGGAATTTATTTTCCTGGAAGGAGATAACCTTACGAGGTTGTTTCCTAGAACATCCCTGGATTTTGGTGAAGCTAGCCTCATCAATGTTCAAATATACTAAGTAAAAGATGAAGGATTGAATTCGAAGATCCACATACAGATATCTTAGATTTTCAAAATTTTGGGGAGTTATTTGTTAATGGCCAGAGTTATAATCTGAGGATGTATTAAGAATTTTGAAAAGTACTCTTTTAGATACATAAATTAATCTCTGCCATGGACATAGTTATAGCATAAAGGGGTGTTTTGATTAGCTTTTCAGAAGTGATTTTGTGGAGTTTGATGTTTGTCCCATACATAATCCCTTTTTCTTCATCATATGCGTCATTATTGAGCATTTGAATAATATATTTTGTTAGGTCTCATATATATGTTTTTAAATAATCAGGATAAAAATGCTTATGTACGTAGAATTCATCGGCTTTTTCCACTAAGCCGGGATTAGATTGACCTTTTTTTTTTTTTAATTACTTACATGATTAGGAAAGAAGTGTGAGGCTTGAACTTTTTGAAAAGTTAACACTTTTAATTAATCAAGTAAACGGAATTTCATTATTACTCAGTAAGTCTTATTTTCTGCTTTCCCGCAGACCTCCAATAGTGACGCATTAATTTCTTTTTTTTTATAACAAAATTTTAGGAAAGGGGTCGGGCTCACCCACGATCCAAGGGCAGGACACCTAACGCGTGACGCATTAATTTCTGAATTATTTGCTGATATATAACCTTCTAAAATGTATGCCACATACAAATAAACTTTTTTTCATGTTATATTTTACTAGTAACATAACAGATATTTGTTTGCAAAAAAACATCAAAGATAATTAATGCTAAGAGGAATATCTGTATAATTTTAGCGTTTTAATTAGATAGATTTATTGTTACGCTTTAAACATTAAAAATATTTTGTGTGTGTGTATTCAAATTTATACAGGAAGTTGCGCGCAATACGATATTATAATTCCTTTTTTCTCTTTTTCCTTGGTTAGTCCACTTTCTAGATAGGATCTAAGTTCAGTTGGAAAAAATGCGATGAAAATACTTTGTTCTTTCCCTCGTTCTCCTTCATTAATTTCCTGGAAAGCATGCCACCAAAAGATATATAATTAATATATAAAATCAATAGTTGTTGAGTCGACTCTTTGAACAACTAGTGGATGGCCAACCATATTAAAAATACACGTCCTTCTTTGATTTCCTTGTATTTGAAAATATGTACATTTTTTTTGTTCTATTTATTAGTAACTTCCAACATGTTTTACACGGACTAAGAAAAACTTTAAATTTTATTAATTTTCAGTTAAAATTCAATAATTTCAACTTTATTCTTATTTAATGTACATTATACCTCATGTAAACAGTACATTACAAGGGTAAAATTGTACATTCATATAATTTTTTTTCCATACCCTATAAATAGGACAAAAAGATGTTTTCTCTTTCCACCCTATAAATTATACCAGAAGAGTATATTATAATTTGATGTGATTTAACACCATAGACGTTGCATAGTTCTTTTAATTAGAGAGGTAGGCTTACACTAACAGCTTGAAATTAGGAGTGGAATTCAACCGGCAACCTCCGAAATATAAGTGAGTTTTCATGCCGTTAAATTATAAAACAAAAATGACCCACTATTTAATTACACTATCCGGCTTTTTTGATGGAAAGAGGGCACACGCTTCATCAAGCGTCTACATCATCATGCAGACTATTCTGTAGAAAATCAGGAGGAGAACTAAAACAGACGAATCGTTCAGCGACCTCCAAGGCTCTCTTCGCAAGGCAATTCGCGGCATGGTTAACTTTTTGGCTACACCACTCAACACTAGCTTCCCAGTTCTTCTCCAACCAATCACGAATACTCGTAAGGAGATTGTTTTCAGGGTGGTCCTCACTCTAACCATTCATAATAGATTCAACCACTTCCAAACTATCGGTTTCCACTACCACCTTCTTCCATTGCATTTCCCAAGCTCGACGCAAGCCTATCATAATAGCCCAAACCTCAGCTTGAAAGCTGCTGCCTCTACCGATGTTGAAAAGAAAACCAGACAAAACCTCTCCATTATGGTCTAGAGCTAGACCACCACAAGCCGAAATATTTGTAAGAGTAATAACTCATTATTTTGAATATCTTGCAAGATATATTTTGAGTGATTTTTGGAGAGTTATCAATAGGATTTTGGATGATTTACAAGAGATTTGAAAAGAAATTAATTGTAAGCATTGTTTGGGGAATTTTATCATAAATATCTTAGTTTCAAATAAATAAAAATAATTAATTTTAG